TGATGCAAGTGTTTTATTCAAATGATATGGAACTATCAATTGAATTGTTGTTTTTCCAAACACGTGGGAAATCTATATATATAGTAATTGGAAATGTTTGCCAAAAGACACAATCATACCAAGAGACATATCTCTTGAAATTTATATCTACATATTAAGAGTGTGTTTGGGACACATTCTTTTGAAAGAATGTATTATTGAATAGTAGATTGATGGAGAATGTGTGGTTAAAAATTAAGGAAAAGTTATTGATGTGATGTAAAATATTATTTTATTGAAAAATGTGTGGTTGAAAATGAGTAGAAGAATGAAAATGAAAAAAATAATGCGTACCAAATAGGGCCATATAGTTTAAGTTTATTCGGCATGTTTGATTTCACACTCACTATTTCTCTCTCTCTCTTTTTTTCCTTCTAATCAAGTGACTTAAATATTTAAATAATTAAAAAAAAGGGAAAAAAAAAAAAAAAAAGTAGACGCCTCTGAGGTGTAGAGAAAGAATACTCCGAAAAAAAAAAAAAATTAACAAGTGCTCAATTCTTATAATTGCGTGACCGTAAGACTTTAAATAGCCTTTATCTGAATTCAAGATTCATTTATTTAATCTTCACACCTTAAAACACACCCATACCCCCGCACCCTCACAAAAGAAAAAATGAGAAACAAGAAAGAAAGTTAAAAAAATGTTAAAGGAGAAAAAGGGGAAAGACTGTCTTCTTTTGTCCATTTTTATTGGAATTGATCTTCGGACAGGATAAAACCTTTTCATTACTGATGTGGCAAGAGAACCTTAATTATGATTCTCACTATTTTAGAGAACCATAAAAAACTTCCAACATAGAGAATCAAAATTAATGTTCTTTTGCCACATTTGCAATGAGAAATTTTTTATCTTGTCCACTAGGAAAAGAAGATCAAGACTGCTATTTCTATTACATAAAATTCATGGTGAAGCTGAATTAAAGCAATTATAAATTGTGCAGGCAAGAATTAAGCATATTTGACTAAACTATTATCCAAGTAGACTTTGAGTTCATTAACAACTTTCAAGCCATGGAGTCATTATATAAATTTTATTTAGGAAATATCACTTGTGCACTCTTCTTGACATGATTATTGGCATTTACAGTGTTGGCAAATGTTGATTGGGTGGAAGTGAAAATTTTAAACTGTCCAATGATGTGTTGTCACGTTGTAAAGTATAAGAAAAAATGTACACGATGATGTACATGTAACATGCTTGTTTTATTTATCTATAGATGAGTTGTGATGTGAAGTAATTTATATTAAATTTTTAATTGTGTTGACTCAAATAGTAAGAGAGTTAGATGATCGTTTCGATTCATCGAAAGCTCCCAATTTTAAAAATTTATATGTTTTACATAAATTTATATTTTCTTATGAAATTTTTTGTCGATAATTAATAGCATTAGAAAAATAACTAAAAATATTATGAATATTTTCAACCTTTTTTCTATATGTTGTTCTATATGACCAAAATAAAACTTTATTAGATATTACAAATTAAATGACACCAATCTCCCCACCATTTTCTTCTCTACCACTTTGTCCGAGATTCAAGTTGAGAAAAAAGGCTAAGCCGAGAAGGCTTTCAGAAACTAGAAAATGTCAATTCTAGAGCTAGAGGTAAATCGAAGGTTTGTCGATCGAGTGAGTGCTGCAATGCAACTTCAAGTTAAGCCCTTGTTTGGCACTTACTTATTTTGTTAACATAATTGGTCAAACTTACTTCTTATTTACACGCCTCATCAAATCCACAAAATGCTAATCACTTATCTTCACTCACTTTTTACCTATTTACAATTTAAACCGATTATAAGCTATTGCAAACGAGCAATATGTTTTTTTTGTGCTCATTTGGGTCAAGCTTGAAGAAACAAAAGAGAAGTCGTGTTAAGGCACTTTCTTTAACAAAAAATATCAAATCATGTAATAGTTACACACATTCTAAGTCTCAAAACTTTCAATTTGTTCCAATTTAGGCACTCCAATTAACTCTATCAAACACGAAAATGAATATTTTGCCATGACAACTGATATTATAACTAATCTTAATTTCCAGTTATACATGCGTGTTTCACAAACCGAAGTTCAGGGACCAAAGGGAAATCCCACTTAAAGCTCCTAACCCCAGTCTAATATATGTGCATGTGTAGTTGCAAGGAAATATTCTAGTACATATCAATAACCATCACGAGGAAAAGTTAAAATGGCATACCATAGTATTTAAGTTTGCCAAATTTATTTACGGTCCAAAAGTAATCCAGCTACAAACTAATCAGAAACCAAACAAAAGCTAGACGAGCAATTTAATGTCAAACGAACCATAAAAGGAGCAGGCAATGGAATGGTGTCCTCATCATACAATAACTTCAATATCGAGATAAGGTTCCCCGAGAGCGATATTCAGGATGTGGATCCCTAGTGGGAAGATGATCAGTTAAGGAACCAGCAAGACGATACTCAGGTACCAAGCCTGTTAGAGAATGATGCTCTGTAGAATACATAGGGTCAGCATATGATGGACGATCTTGGTATGAAACATAGGGATCACGACTGACAATCTCGTCTCTTCGCCTAGTTTCCGAATTTGATAGATGATCTCGATATGGAACATAGAAATCACGACTGCCAATCTCGTCCCGCCGCCTAGTTTCCAAATTTGAAGACCGAAGATCACGGTACTCTAACAGCTCATCACGTCTATAAGAATCACTGTAAACCAGTCGATCCTGCCTGTAGACATCAGGATGCACCGATATTGGTTCCCTCCTATAAGTATCCTGAGGTGCCAAACGTCGATCGTCTCTGGAAGAATCAAGGTGTTGTATATTTGGATCTAGCCCTTCTCTATAAGGGTCACGGCGGACAACATATGGATCTCGACCACCTCTATAAGGATCACGATCGTTTAAGTACGGATCTAGCCTGTAAACATTTACTTCCGGTGTCCTCCTATATGCATATGAAGGAACAATAAGTGGTTGAGGTGCTGGTGCTGGTGCTGGTGCTGGTGCTGGTGCTGGTGCAAGTAACAGTGGACGCTGCCACTGTGGTGCCACAGGAGGTGTAACAACATCTCTTTGACGCTTATGAGGGGGCTCATGCTGCCTACGCTCCTCCCTCAAAGAAGTGCGCCTCTCATCATCCCTTCTCCGCCTCCTATTTCTTTCTCGGCGCATAGGTGTCTCATCATCCCCTCTCCGCCTCCTCTTTCTTTCTCGGTGCACAGGTGTAGGGTTTTCTGCTTTCCCCTGCCTTCCCACCCTTTTGGACTGGTTAACTTTCCTGGCAGGTACAAAAAGCTTACACAACTTCTTGACCTATAGAAGAAAACCATCAGTGGCCGAGATGAGGTATGGGATCAGATGGCAACAGTGTCCTTGCACAGTATTCTTCAAACTTATCAGTAATAAAGGCATGTCAAGTACCTGTGATGATGTCAATTGGCAATCAAACTTATTTCTTGTAAAATAGTTCTCCTTGATTACCATCTTGAACTTCTCCTCAGCCACAGGCAAACAGTCCTCGAAAATAGTAAATCGAACCTAACATGATGTACAGTTTTCAATCAAAATCGAGATAATTCTGATCCTCATTCAATTGGTTCGGTGGAGGTATATTATAAAAACCCACGAGGTAAATTTTCATAACCAAAACACATACATGTCTAATGCCTGCTTCTGAGACAATCCTCTTGACAATTATGAACTTACAAGGAAGTTGCATCAAGCATTGTAGATTAAAAACATGAACAAGTTAAAATAGCTCCAGCATACATCTGTCAATGGAAAGCAAAAATAAAGTCCATGCTGATGAATTTGGCAAAATAACCACTTAATAGCATGATTTATGTTAACCACTAGATGTTTTGAATCATAAAGATATTTTGATTTGTCATAGAAACATATACACAATTAGAGTAATCTCCTACCACTATCACACCCGTGGAGCTGATTGTATTAATAGAAGCTACAATACACCATGTAGCATGAGCAAATGCAGAAAACTAGAAAATAATAATGAATTAGGAAGGATCATTAAAACAGCTGCTATCCCATCATAATTTGAAAGAGACACGTCAAATTACTTGCCTAATAAACTTTTAATATGTTGCTAAAATGTCAATATTAGATGTGTGAACACCCGGCAGACGGTCAGTTCCATAATGAAATGGAAGAGTCAGTTACATTATAACGAGAGGAAAAGAAGCAATCCAAATATAGAGTCATATCAAACAGACTTCTTCAAGGACTTCCATCTTTATTAATTCGTATTGTTCAAAATGGATCTTTTTCATTTAGAAGAATGAGCGGCAAAGGGGTTCGTAAAGATAAACAACCAAAAACTGAGGAATTAATGAATATGCCAATCTGCCTGATTATTGAGCAGTGGAGCACAGCTGCGAAAACATTGTTGTGAATAAAATGTGCCTTGTGAGAGAGAACAAATATGAAAATGGTATTGCAACGATATTGCCCTAAATAAAGGATAATCAGACTTCCTCTGATTTTTATTACTTGACAAGCTTATTGAAACTTCCCATAATAAAGCACGGTTTGTCCTATGCCCTAACTATTGAACGCCAAATAGAATGGAAACAGAAATTAATAGTTATCATTAATGACACTCATCATAGAAATGTCAGAAGCTTGACAATAGCCACTTCCCAGATTCTAAAAAAGAGAAAATTTTATCAGCAAAGAATTGTTAGAACATGTAGAATCAGCCAAAACTAAGACTGGAAAATGAAAAAGATAATTCATGTTCCTCTCTTACAGGTTCAACCAATCAAAACAAGAAAAATAAGGCAAGTTCATTCACTCTAGCAAAGACTTCCATTATTTTCGCACCTTCCCCTATGACTTTAAACAATGATAGCACAATGGAGAAAAAAGTATTATACTGGCTGAAATAGTGATATTGTGTTGTGAAGGTTGTTCATCTATTATTTATTTTATTTCATTCTATCAATAACTAAAGATAGGAAAAGTGAAGCTTGATTTGGAAGTTCACTATTTCGTTCTCTTACATGGACTATCTGGATCGAACATATGGAAGACGATTTAAGAAGCGAAGACACTTCTAGAGAATTTTTTAAATATTTGCTATAATACATAATTCCTTTTTTTGAAAGGTATAATACATAATTCTTTTGCCGTCATGAAACTTGCATATTCAACTTTCATCACTCATCTCAGAGAAGGCAATGTTATAAATTTTTCCCACAAAAGATGAGAAAACCAACAAAAAGATTAAATAGTTTAACGTCCTAAGATAAAGCTAGTTATAGCAGATTTAGGTAGCAATGAATCAAAAAAGCAATTGCCTTGTAAAAGTAATAGAAGACCACAATTAGTAATTTAAGAGAATCCAGAAATATTTAGAACATTTACAGACTAAGCAAGTTCAAGGTTCTTTGATTTTAGATAAGTTCTATTTATTAAGGTAGCAATGAATGCAGAACCCAATTAACTGTAAAAGTACGAACTATCATAATGATTAATGAGTAATTTAACAGAATCAAGAAATATTTCGAACATTAACAAAGTTAACAAGTTTACACCAGATGGTTATTATAACAAAACCACGGGAGCAAGAAAATCTAGTGGCAGAAAAGGATAACAAAATGTGAACAATGAACTGGATCCTAAATACAGAACCTGACTCTATAATAGGCTTCTTAAGATATTACAAAAAGAGGCCCCACATTTCACTTTATGCCATCCATCAATAGTGAATGTTCAGGTGAGAAATTCGGGAGTTCATTCACTTACCAAAACCACAAAAACAGAAAACATCAATAGAAACAATAAAGTATAAGAAACAAACTTTTTTATATCTTTATGCCAATTGATTTGACCTCCCAACCAAATATATTAAAAACCTAAATCTTTCAGGCCCAATAGACCATGTCCTACAAAGAGTTGGGAAGAAAAAATAAAAATAGATGTATGACCGTATAAACTAAAATATAAAAATAGGACTGTCATTTCTGGCTGAGACCCCAAACACTAAAACCATCATTGGAAGTATAGACAACAAATGTCCTGTTTCTTAACATCAACTGGCATTAACAACTTCATGTCCTCAAGTCATTCCTAAAAATGGTATGCCTAATTATTCAATGGACATGGAAGCAGTACATGGGAAAGGAGTTCCAAGAGAGAGAGAAATAATCTACAGCTAATGAATTTTCACAATACATAAAAGTGCTTAAAAGTTCAAGTCATACTCATAAATCTTTTTCATGAGCCCATTGATAAATCATGGAAACCAAAAGGAAGTATAACTACGGCTTGAATCTTGGAACATGTAAAGATTCAGAACTATTCTTCAGTTTTAATCACCAAAAAATTCCAGCAATCACAATTCACCACCAAAGGTTTTGCCATTATTTCTTTCTCATGCATGTTTCTCCTTATTATAAATTCTAGAAAACTTGAATATGTTTGACATTTGGACATCAGTAGGAATCTTGGTATCAATTCATAATTCAACAAAATTCTTTTCAATATAGGAGGAATTGCTTAGAAGAAAAATCACACAGACACACCAAGCAGATTCTTTGTTTGATCAACATGTTATAGTTATGTGACAGACATCATTTACTATTACCCTTCTTGTCATTAATTAATATAATCTTCACTAATTCCTCAATGCACGCGTTATTTCAGATTACATACACAATTGCCATGTCAAAGTTTTACAGAGGCATCATTTTAAACAGTTTCCACAATGACCAGAAGGTGACTCTTCATCAGGCAAAAATTTTAAAAAATAAATGCAAATACTTAACAAAGAAAATCATATTCGTCTGATCACCTAGAAAGAAAAAAGAAGGAAAAACAACAAAAAGAAACTGCTTTCATTAACTCCTACCAAATGAAGGCAGTCAACTAAGCTAGTGAAGATCCAATTTTACAAACAATGCTGCAAGTTTACACTCAGCATTTCATCCCCAGGTCGGGCAAAAACGATGAGCAATTGCACATAGAAGTATTAAGAAACACAACAAAGTAATAATGTTCAACAAAGATAAAAAAAATGTTCACGTTTTCTTTTGATTCCATTTTCGTAATATTTTACCTACTCCTTTAAGAAAACACCTATGTATACTATCAAAAGTAATTTATTCACAAAATCCATGCACTAAGCAGGAAAGAAAATGAAATTAGTTCGAATTATGGCAAATGAACATTATGAACTAACCTGAGATGGGAACTGTGACTTGAAGGCCTTGGGCTCGATGTTATATCCCCCAGGTCCTGCAGCTTTATAAATCCCGTACATCAATTTCAGATCAGTGTCATATAAAAACAGCCTCATCCCTTTATAGATCTTTTTCACCAAATCTCTCTTGCTAGCAGGCAGCCCAAGAACCTTATAATGGTAGCAGTCATTCTTTGTCTGAGAAGTGCACATAAATATCATTCCCATGCTCTCAGCCCTCTTCTTGGATTTATTCTTGGTTGATGATTCTGGCCTATCTTCAGCTCCAGATGCCACTTTCTTGGAGCTTCCATCTTCCACCTTCTTCTTTCTGTTCCTCTGCCTTGATTTCTTGACCTTCTCCTTTGAACTTGTTTCCAATTTCCCTGCATTACGCTCTTCAGCATTTTGTCCATCTCCAGCATTTTCTTTATCTTTTTTTGCACCATTGTCTTCTTCTTTCATTCTCTTTTCTTCACTATCTTTATCATTAGCAATGGAATTTTCTTTTACCTTCTTTCTGATCCTTTCCCCTGATTTCTTGGCCTTTTTCTTCCAAAGTGCTCCCATATTTTCTTCATTACACTCTTCACCTTTTTCACTGTCTCCTTCAGCAATTTCTTTTTCTTTTGCATTTTTTTCATTGTCATCTTCTTCTTCTGTAGAATCTTCTTCACTATCTTCATCCTCAAAAGTATATGTAGCTACTTCACCATTTACTTCATTCTCTTCTTCGGAAGTATCTTCTTCATCATATTCCTCCATTGAATCTTCTTGATTATCTTCATCGTTTTCCTCCATTGGACCTTTCTGATTATCTTCATCATATTTGGGATTGCTTTCACTCTTTTGGTCCTCTTCTGTCAAATTATAGCCATTCAGTCCTTGAATATCTTCAGCATCTTCCAGAAATTTTTCACTCTTTTGTATAATCACTCTTTGTTCTTCATACTTCGTTTCTTCACCTTCTTCATTTTTAGTCATGCCCATTGATGCTGTTTCTTTATTTTCACTACGAGCACCACCACTGGTTTGCTCCATATTAACTATCACTGAGTCAGAGTTCTCTGTTTCAAATAGAGCGTGGGCAATCACATTTTGTTCTTCATGCTTTGTTTCTTCATCTTCATTTTTGGTCACATCCATTGTCGATGTTTCTTTATTTTCACTATGAGCACCACCACGGGTTTGCTCCTTATTAACTATCATTGAGTCAGAGTTCTCTGTTTCAACTAGAGCATGGACAATCACATTTTGCTCTTCATGGTTTGTTTCTTCATCTTCATTTTTGGTCCTGTCCATTGATGCTGTTTCTTTATTTTCACTATGAGCACCACCATTGGTTTGCTCCATATTAGCTATCATTGAGTCAGAGTTCTCTGTTTCAACTAGAGCACGGACAATCACATTTTGTTCTTTATGTTTTCTTTCTTCATCTTCTTCATTTTTAGTCACGTCCATAGATGCTATTTCTTTATTTTCACTACTAGCAACACCACTGGTTTGCTCCATATTAACTGCCATTGAGACAGAGTTCTCTGTTTCAACTAAAGCATCTTGAGAAATCTCATTCTCATTGAGATTATTGGAGGTTGAAGCCTTTTTCTTTCCTTTAATACGCACCATTATCAATCACTAGTGTTTCTGAAACACACATCATGAAAGAACCCCCTTTCCCTCAGAAGCAGATAATAAAAATAGAGCAAGGCATAAATTTTAAAATAATATTGCACATACATGTGATTGAATATGCACGTGTATATAGTATATGCATGTAAATAGTAAATACACACACACACATACACATACACATAACTTTTATTAGATACATATATGTAACATTAATTACATAGATGCACGCACAGACATATTTTATAAAGTTGTTGCATATAATAATATGCCTACTTAGCTACAGTTAAACTTCAAGCACTTTTCTGAAACAAAAATGATTTAGGGCATCAATAATACCTTAGGTGCTGAAAATTCTTTCTTACTATATATTACTTTCACTAGCTTTAGTTAAATATATGCTTGTTCATAATTCTCCTGAAACGAAATGGCCAGATTATATTTATTACTTTCCAAAATCAGACCATAACTACAGCCGAAAAAATGTGTGCCATTATCTCTGAGATACCTTGACCGTAAATGGAAAGACATGATAAATAATGGCCTAATAAAAGCACACATTGTCTTTATAGCAAGAAGAAAAGCACAATAGCATAAGACAATAATAATTACCTTATTATTCTTTAATTCTTTATGTTGACTACCTTTGACCAAACATTATGAATCAGGATTAGTATGTAAAAGGAGATGATGCAAGTGAACAATATTTCCATGTTCTCAGGAAAAAAGCCTCTACAGATTCCATCATATTTTGGCTTTTTTATATGAATTCTCTATTTCACTTCTTGATAGCTGTAACCATATCCAGATCCACTAAAATTATCAGATGTGTAAAAGAAGGATATTTCTCAAAGTGAAATCAACTATTCAATTTTAGTGTTGAATGTGAAACAGAGGTGGTTTCCATATCTAAATCTGTATGTAGTTTGATCAGACAGGAAATGTAAACATTGTAAATAACCTGAAACTTTAGCCAAAAATTCCAAGACCGTCAATTAGAAATGAGTACGACTTTGAAATGTATGATCCATTAGGTACTTGTATGCATGCACATACATACTAGCATCTTACAGTGATAATAAACCTTTTAAATATAGACAGGAACTATAGTAAAGGGTAAAATCGAGAACAGAATAACATTAACCCCTGATCTCAAATTTTGAATAAAAATTTTCAAACAAAAATTAAAAAATTCAAATATAAAACCAAAAGCTACATCCTGGGGAGAAGATGTCCACATTCTGAACTGAAATACCAAATTAAATTTCCTCCCTTTTCACCCCCTCTTTTCAGAAAGCATTATCAAATTCTTATGCTATATATTTAGCCCCGTAGAACTAGACCTAGTATTGAAAAACAAAAAAAAGTACAATTTTATAATGGAATCCCCATCACATGCTTCATAAATTAACAGCAGCAAAAATACAACCTACTTGAAAATTTTAAATTACATTCTCAGTGCAACAATTTTGCTCGGATTAAAGATTACAAACTGGTTTACCACGAACCCTAATTTCCTTAAGTGAAATACGCCATAATTAATGGGGTGAAGGGAGGGTTAAATAGAACTCCGAAGCTGGAACTGAAATTGGTAAGTGAAATCAAATATCATATTCAAAATTATAGCGATTTTTCTAGTTCAGATTATCGTAGCCCTAAACCCTAACTCCATTCAAACAATTGATTACTCCTTAAAATACTATCACATGGCAACGCAGCAAAAATATTCAGTAATAAAAAATCAAAAGAAGCATAAATCTCACCTCTTGTTGTGAGATGTGAAGTCGATTCAACAGAGTGAAAGTTTCAACCCCTGCATTAGAGACATAATTCTGAAAAACATTCAATTAAAGAAAAAATTGGGAGAGAGAAGAAACATTTCTATCACGAAAAATTACGTACATTTACCTGGATCCAAGGCAGGAGAGTAGAATGGGAAAACTTGGGCTTTAGCGTAGGCTCGTTCAAGCCCAATAAGTTTTTTAGAGGTAAAAATTAAATTTTTCTTTAATTTTTTTATGTAATAGTTTGTGTAAAAAAAGAAAAAAATTTATTATTCTCTGATTTCGTCCCTGATCTAAGGTATTGTCAGTCCCCAACTCTGTTTTAGGGTCGTTTGACTTAGCTTTTGAGAAGCCAGAATGACATTTTAAGAGTCAAAAGCTGCTTTTGAATATATTTGACTAAAAGCTCGTTTGACAGAACTTTTGCTTTACTTTTGCATCATGTAGAAGAGTTTTTGGTGGAAATTATCTTAATTTTTGTTTGTATACTAATTTTGAAAAGCACTTTCTGCTTCGAAAGTATTTTAGAGGAAGTCATATTGAATCAGTTTCCTTTAAAGGTTCTTCTAACTATCATGAGCACTTTCACAAAATTAGTCAAACGAATCCAAAATCAGATTTTGGGTTTCAAAATCTTCTTTTAACTTTTTAAAAATCATGTCAAACGGACTCTAATTTTATGAAAATGTTTTTTTTAGTTAGAAATTTTTTTAAAGGAAATCGATCAAACGTGGCTTCATCTAAAAACACTTTTCGAATGGAAGGTTCTTTTACAAATTAATGTTCAAACAAAAATTAAGTTAACTTACTCATGAATCTCTTCCATATCTAACGAGTCATTGGTTGTAGCACGTGCCCGTAGCTATTATATTCAATAAAAAAGAAGATAAAATCGTAAGAAACTATTAACAGTCTATTCAAATTAAAAATCGTTGTAGAATGCTATGGAGAAAGGGTATCGTTGCTCTAGTAAGAAATCGATTACCTTGATAAACATGGAGTGTAAAAAAATTGTTAACTCCTCGATTCGTACCAAAACTGTCTTTATGAAACCATTGGTTTGGATCCTAAAATATTTGTTTAGGAGTTAAGAGTGAATAAAAGATGAAGTTTATGCTGAACAAATGACTAATTATATATATAAAGAGTTAAATTCATCTGTACAGTGTACAATACAGTATAAAACCCAATTTGAGTAACCAAACCTTTTTGAATTTCTGATTGCTAATGCCAATTGCATAAAGACCTAACAAAGTAACACAAACAAACACAATGTGCCTTAATTCCTAACCACCAAAATCATGTGAGGAAACGTTCGAGAGCCTAAAGTCCTACATCATAGTTAACTATATTTTCATGTTCATAAAATTTGTGTAAATTGAAGAATTTCCGAAATTACAAAAGCATTTGCTTCAAAAATCTCTGGAGAGCGATTTGAAACTGAACAAAAATGCAAAATGTGCCTTGATTCACATAATAAAAGTAATTTTGTTTGATTTGAAAAAATGTTAAAACCCACCCAAACAAAATTGTATATACCCCTAGGTCATAGTAATTGTTATAAAAAGGGAAAAAAAAAAAAAAAAC